TGAGGATGAGAAATAAGATTCCTAGGACATTGGTCTGAAGCCTAAGTTGAGGAAGATTCCTAGACTTGGACATGGAAATGGGTATAACTTGCTCGAAATCTTCAAATGTAACGTAAACATTAGTCATTCAATTTTTGTTAAGGGCTATGTTATCCTGTTTAATCAAGGTGCATAAATTATCATTCTTGAGCATACATTCTACTAATTATGAGAAAAGAGGCATTTCCTCATAGAATTGCTTTCTGAGTGAGGTTTAGCCTAAAAGCAATTCTACCATTCGGCTGAAAGAACTGATTTAGCTAAGCTCATGAAATAGGAAATATTCTAGAATTGAATGCGCATTGCATTCTTCAACATTAGGCTTATTTGTTTATTGGCAAGGAACATTTGACACGATTCCTCATCTACCCCACGAACGGATAAGTGATTGAAGAAGAAGATGCATAACATTAAGTCACTTGGGGACTAACCTAGTTTTCACAACTTGGTGAGAGCAACAGGCAGACCTTGTGGAACGTATCTAAGCCTACGTCATCTGTCATAGTATTTGTGATTTCCAGCATCTAACCGTTGACTTACTACGTTCACAGACCTTTCGCTTTATCGTAGTCGGCATTGTCATTGAGAGGTGCAGTCGTTAGCTCAGTTACAATTTGTCACAATGACAAGTAAAGACAATCCCCTTGACCAACTTTTTGTCCAATTATTGTAGTATCACTCATCGCCCCTATTTTTATCCTAGCTTATAGTGCTGCATCTCTTTCTCTCAACTCCGCTTTATATGGCCCATTTGTCTATTCACATCATCCTGCGTTCTCGTTTCCTCCAATGTCGCCTAAGAATATGGGCGGCTTTCCATAATTACTTCTTAATAGTTTGAATGTGTTGCATACTAATATGTTGTTCTGTTTTCATATTAACAGTATTATTTTAACATTACATTTATTTTTTTTGTTTTTCCATAGAACCTAGACGATATCAAGCAGACATGGCAAGAAATGAAGTTCCACCTGTCTGCATACACTAAATGCAAGAAAGAGCCACTCCAAATTCTTACGGGGCTAGAAGAACCCCAGCAAAGCATGGAAGACCACATGGTGATGCTGCAGTCTATAGGGGGAAGCCGGTTTGCCACGCCATTTCTTTCTATAGTGAGAGATTGGGAGCGAGATCTTACTATTGTCAGTGATACTTTAGAGGCAAGCAATTGATCCCTTAGCTACCCACTTCGTTTCTTTGCCATAGCATATATAATGAGTAAAAATAGGAAATTAGATCGTACATATGGTAACAAAAATGGTTTAACCTTCTCTTTAATCTCAGTCTCCTTTAGCTTTATACTGTTGATTTGACCTCATTTTCACAGTATGGTTGGAGCGTCAGGGAATGCTTGTTGAGCGTGCCTAGTCCTGCATTCTCCACCATAGTCTTCATAATTTCCAGGATCGAACCATTGACTTGCCATATTCCCAGGCGTTTCGCCTATATCATGATTGATAGACGCCATCGTTAGCACATACTTACAATTTATCAGTGGCAAGTGAAGACAATCCCCTTGACAAATTTTCTTTTTGCGAAACACTCTTATGCGACAAAATGGTATAAATAGGTAAATTGGCCATATTAAGTGGGCTTGAGAGGAGATAAAGCCCAAGAGGCTAGGAGAGCAAAATGAGGTCAAATAAAAAAAATAGGAACCTTTTTTAATTTAAAATTACGACTGTCTTTTCACTTGGCCATTGATGGCAAAAATACTTAAATTATTTTTGCTTTTATGTGCTTCGACCCACCATTTCAAACTGGATTCATTTTGTATCATTATGAACATGGTCTAATTAAATGCCTAAGGAAGATGGCCTTGTAGTTATGACTTGACGTGATCGTATAAATTTTCGCAAGTCTTAAAAATCGAAAAAGTTTCTTGCTAACTATCGACTCTGTGCTGCCACCCAAGGTCTTAGTTCTCGGATTTTCTTCGAAGCAACGGGTTTATAAATCTATATCGCATTTTGTTTATTCTATCTTCTGTCCACATTTATGGTAAGCGCTTTATATTTTCCCATGCTAAATTCAGACATGGATAATTGTGCAACAGAAATGGATGTATCTCGAAGCGATTTTCACTGCCGGGGACATCAGCAAACAACTTCCCCAAGAAGCTGCCAGATTCGAAGGTATTGATAGGTCCTTCCGAAAGGTATGAGCTTGTCATCCATTAATTACATATAAGGCTTTTTTAGCAAGTTTATTTGTAAATGCAACCCCTTTGAATTAGGCATGTTTGCAGTAATAGCATAGATAATATCTCAGTTTAATGTCCTACCCATTTCGTTTCTCCTTCCTATGACCTAACGTCATGAAACGTCTCATACATTATTTACAATCGTTGTTCAAACCAGATTGAGCCTCAGTATACTGTCGGACAGACGGTACTGAGATTTCGACCTTTGTGATAAAAGTCTTCAAACTATCACTATAGATTCATGTTCATATAAAATCAAACAAATTCTTTGATGCAATTCAATAAAATGGTAATTAAACTCATAAACGTTATATAATCAATTTAGTCATACTGCTATAGGCTATTTTATCTTTACTTACCAGAATCTTAAAACTTTTGTAGATATTTGTGCTCATTTTGAATTTTATGCTTTTCTTAATTCCTCTAAAATTATTTATTGTTTTAGTAGTTTATAATACCTTTTTTCGTTGCGCAAGAACTAATGGTTATTCTGCAAAAGCTAAATTGAACTCAAGGCTTTGTTATGCTATCCAACTTAACAGCGTTGGTTCTAAATTGGACTTCAGTATCCACATTGCATATATACGCTCAGTAAAGGTACACCTTTAGACATGTCATCCACCGGCTATTTGATCACAGCTCTCTCAAGCGCGACTTAAGAGGGAAGACAAACCTTACTTTACCTCTTTCGAAAGGGAGATAAAGCTTTTAGGAATATTTTCTTCAAATCAACCATATAAATGTGTTCTAATAGTGTTTTAGGGATACTAGAAATTAATATCCTGATTATATCTGTGAGTTATCAAACCTCAGCCTCACATTAAACAGTTTAATTGAAATCCATTGAATTATATGACTCACTGACAAAATCTTAAGCTCTAATATCCATTCGGATATTGCTGCATATATTCAATGGACCATTGAATTATAAAAACTGTTATTAAACCAGGATGCATATTTAGCTTACAGATGTTCGCTAAAATGAAATGTATGCTGAGGCTCAATCTGCTTTGAACAACGATTGTAAATAATGTATGAGACGTTTCATGACGTTAGGTCATAGGAAGGAGAAACGAAATGAGTAGGACATTAAATTGTGAAGTGTGAAAATTGCACCTTCCTAATTTATCATATCAAGAGAAGACACTGGTATATGGGGTGGTGAGGGGAAGTGGCGAAATTCAGTAATAGTGAGGATTTGTTTTTCATTTTAGCATTTATTCTCGTTGTCTGTGATTCCCCATATATTGCTCTAAGATGATGCGAGCTGCTCAAGAGGTGCAATACGTGATGAAATGCTGTCTGGCTGACAAACGTCTTGATGACTTGCGTAACCTTGAACAAGAGCTGGAAATATGTCAGAAGGCGCTAAATGACTACCTGGAGGCTAAACGAAACGCCTTTCCTCGCTTCTTCTTTATCTCGTCTGATGAGATGCTCAGTATTCTCGGTGGAAAGGAGCTATCGCTTATCCAGGAGCATATCATCAAAGTAAATATTCATACTTGTTTATTGATTGATTCTTCGTTTTATTAATTAATTACACAAACTGAACCACTTTAAAAGTAGCCAGCCGCATTTTGACAACTTTATCGAGTTTTCAGGACAACCTAGTCGGACGCTCTTTGTCCGAATCCCTTTGTCATACAAGGCATTATACTTCTTATTTTTTGTATGTAAGTAGAGTTTCGAGAGTAACACTAAATGATTAAAATGAGGTGTATTAACCCTATTTCGTTTAAGGTGATGAACGACTGGTTGTAGAATGTTCCCACAAGTATATGAGGCGAGCTGACATTTCCATTTAATATCACAGTCTTAATTTCCCAAAAGTTGTTCTCATCCAGGGTGGACTGCAGTTTCGAGCTCGCATAGGTCTTATCAACACCCCAAGCGGGAGTTTAACCGTGACAGTGCAAAATTTGAGCTTGACACGTAAACCACTCAAACACATTATAATTATTTTCGTTGGATTCTGGACTTGGCACATTCCGAGACGTGGGCCGGCATCATACTCGGCGTCTTCATTGAAATGTTTCAGCAACTAGTTTTGAGCAACGCACAAACGTGCATAGTTTGTATATTAAATTCAAGGTTATCAAGCACAATGAAATATTCATATTAACTATATCAAGGATATTCAGACCAAGATAGTGGCGTTCTGTTTGATGGCAGTCTCCTTTAGCTGCATAGTGTTGGTTTGACCTGGTTTTCGCAATTTGATTGCAGGTATAGCGAGACCTTGCTGAATGTAGCCAGTCCTGTGCACTTTGCCGCAGTATTCGGGATTCCAAGTATCGGACCACTGAATTGCTACATTCACAGATGTTTTGACGGCATCGTTAGTGGAAGGCGCAGAATTACAACTTATGAAAGTGACGTGGGTCCAACTTTCTGTTTAACTGTTAGCCGCTATTTTTTGTCCCAGCTTCAAGAGCTGTATTTCTTTCACTAAATGGTTTAAGTAAAACATAATAATTATCACCACTGATTGCAAATGGTGCTGACTTTATCTAGTTCCACTTC